CACACACACACACACACACACACACACACTCACACACCAGGGCCAGTTTTCCGAGAAGCCCATAAGCCTACCAGTGTGTCTTTGGACTGTGAGGAAACCGGAGCACATGGAGGATACACATGTGAACCCTGGGTGAACATACACGCTGCACGCGTTTGCACCCCAGGGTCCAAGCACTGCGAGGCAGCGTTGATTTCCACTGCGCCACCTTGCTGTCCAAATCCCTTTCTAATGTTTGCCCGAATCCTCCAGTGATCTCGGTCTCCTGGAGAACTGCGGGCTGTTTCCAGCATTTTATCTTCTTTTAACTCATTCATGTCTGATTATGTTAATTGTCAAACTTGCTGATTACACAATTACTATCAATACAGTATTTTGTGTTTTTTTTTATTACTGTTTCTTGACTCTTAACAGGCTTAATGTGTAATATGTTTCATTTCCCTTTTAAACAGATACAGTATAAGGAGACTAACCAAGTGGCCTCTCCCTGAGCTGTCTGTCTCAGCTTAAGATAGAGAGCAGTATAAAGCCAGTTTAGACAGAAATTATGTGTTATGGAGATTGTTTTCAGACCAGAAAAAAATCTCTGGGCACTAGACAGGTGAAAGCAATAGCAGGGTTCAGTCTCCCAGTAAATAAGAAGAGCCATCCAAATTGAGTTCACTCTCCAAAGGTCCAGTTCATTCCAGGAAACAGGAAATAGGGCAGGTGATTTGAAATATAGACCAAATTAGGATGTGAAGGTGTTTTCAGTACACCGGAGTTCGTCCCTCCTCTCAGAACACCTCAACCCCAGTCCTGAAATCCCTGTCAGAGTTAAGTTCTGCTCAGAAGTATGCTGTATAAAGTGCTAGGACTCAGCTATTGATTGGTTGGCGTGTGTTTTCTGGCATTACTTCAAGAGAAGCAGCCTTTTTCCAAACATAAATGTAGGAACAGGAATGTAGAGTCATATGAAAATGCTCAGTGAAAGTGTGACTCATTTTACTTAATTTTTTACCTATGCTAAATAATGGTAATATGTACAGTATTAAAACAAGTTAAAACAAGTTAACGTGCAGCTGTTTTTCAAAATTATGCCATGCTGTGGATTGTATGCACCCATCTATACAGTACGTCCTTGAACAATGTTACAGGAAAGACAAAAATATAAAAACATAATGAAGCACGTAACCAATGCAGTGACATAGCTGTAGTTTAATATACTCTAGATATTTGATATTAATATTTTTTCAAGTATTTATTAAAGATGCAATGTAGAAGGCAGTTTTAAAGGAAAGGAATATTTTATACTGTAGTTCCACCATAAAGACAATGCAGGTATCTGACATCATCTGTCTACATCAATTAGCGTAATGGGGTTATCGCTGTGGAGGGGAGGTAAACTATATTAATAACCTATCAATTCCAAGTGCTTAAAACCCCTACAATCCAACATAATTTTTAGGGTTTAGTGCATATTTGTACCCATTAATGACAAGTTATTAATGACATGACTGTTTATGTTTTCAGTTGAAAACAATACTATCTGTGTTTTTAAAATGTTTTTTTCCCACTTTTACAATAGAAAATGCTTGATTACCTGAAAGATAAAAAGGACGTGGGCTTCTTTCAGAGTCTTGCTGGCCTTATGCAGTCGTGCAGGTATTTGTCTTTTTAATCTGTTTTGAAGTGTCAGAAAGCATAACATTTGGAAATGCTATTTATTTTAAAATTCATTTAATTTACTTATATTCTTTCAGTGTTCTTGACCTCAATGCTTTTGAAAGGCAGAACAAAGCCGAAGGACTGGGGATGGTAACAGAAGAGGGCTCAGGTACACTTTTCTCAGAATGAGGCTCAGAAGGGAATTAGTGTGACTGATCAGTGAAACTTACTGTCTCATTAAAAGAACAGTCTCATACTGTACGTAGATAAATTGTATGTCCAGGGTTTTCAGTAAGAAATAGGCATAGAAAAACAGAAGATAGGCTCATTGAAATGTTTAATTATTTTTACATGAATTTAGCATGATGTGGGAATAGAATTTTTAATGAATATAAATGTTTTTTAAAAAAATGATCTTTCAATACACTGAAGTAAGAACTTTGTTTTAACTGCGTTATATTCTTCAAAATCCCTAGTTCCAAAAAACATTACCAAAAACTTAATTAATGCATAGGAAATGATATTATTCTTACACTAGAATGTTTTATTTAAAATGGAAATTGGGTTTATGCCAATCATACTGCTGAGCTCTGTGTTTGAAATGCTGTGTTCTTTGATTTTTTTGCAATTATTATTTAGAGGAATGTTCAGTCACTTAGATTTTTAATTGCAAAGTCAAGTGATCATTTTTTTATTTATTTGTCCAGCTGTTTTGTCATTGCATTGGTATGGTACATTGATTAAGCAATACTGCACATGAACGTGAAAATACAATTATCCCTAACCAATGTCTTTGTTGTCTGCATTCATGTTCATTTTTTTTTAATTTCCATCCGTACAACATCTGTCAAAGATGGCTTTGTCTCTTTTTTACCCTTTATGTATGTATATAAATGTGGGAAAAAATGTTACCTTGTAAACCAAGTCATTACTGTTTTGTGTTCTTTGTTAATAATGTTAAAATCTACAAATTTGTACTTGAAATTTTGAATTTTTTGTGTTTTGTAAACATTTGTAGAAAATCTGTTTTTAAGTTACAGTTAATGTGAATATTAGACTACTGTAAATTTAGAAAAATCAAAACAGTGACTAAGGATGAAAGAAAAAAATCATTAGGATACTGTGACAAAAAAGTTTTCACCTACAGAGTTCAAAAGGGAGACAAATGGAATATGCTTTCGTCTTGTGCACCAGGAGTTTTCAGCCTTTTCTGGATTTTGGATAGGAGACCCCTTTCTTAGAATTACCTCTTACAACAGAACACAAATTTAAATATAAAATATGTCTGATGACTGTCATTATTATAAATATAGTGCAATTATAAAATATTCAAAACAGAGCTGCAGGTTAATAGATGCTGTCAGTGCTGTCAGAGCAGAACATCTGTGTGACTTAGGGTTTTAAGTACTGCTGCTCTAAACTGGAAGTGAAGGGTGTTTTTTTTATTGCTGGAGAAGCTGTCGACATTTGAAGAAAATATCTGGTGTACACTATTTCATGAGCCTACAATGTGATGTGTACAGTACGTAAGCCTTCTGAAAACAGTGTTTCCATGCTTTATATGCATATAATTTGGGACCTAATCACCTGACCAAATGGTTTGTCTTAGTTTTTATTATTTTCTTCTGGATGTCACTCCAAACTTATGGAAATTCCCATGCCTTCTAGACTCCCAGATAATATTTCATTTCAGAGGCTTCTAAAAAGAATGGATATAGTGTACAGTAAATCCTTTACTATATGACTGCAGTTGCTGATTCAGTCCTCAATTCATCAATAGTACTGAAGCAGTGTACTGATTTTCAAAAACTGGCACTTCAGAAAGTGCGTCTTAATCAATGAATTCAACATTTTTTAATATTATGTATTTTTTCACTGAAGTAGAATTAATCATTAAAAAGCCCATCTAGATGGCGATTAGCCTGGCATGAAGAGGGATACACATTTTCAATTAGCAGAATATCAGTTCAGATTCTTCACCTTCTTTGTAAGCATTTCCTTTTTTGTCATAATACCCTTTAACTACGTCTTTACTGATCTGTCTGATGTTTTTTGCCTTGTAACACTTGGCACATTATCTTTTGCCTTATTTCCCCCAGCTGGTTTTCTTTGCAATACTGAATACTGAACCTACCTGTAATCTGTCTGAATTTGAAATCTTACTTTTTCTTTCCTTTTTCTTTTCCTTTGGGTTAATGTTCTGTCTTCCCTTCCTCAGTCATCACTCATGAGCGTGGTAATTATGAAATCTGCCATTTCCCTTTGTTAGCTTCTGTGTCAGCGCTGTCCAGGTCCTGAGTCCAATCCCCTCTTTTCCTAGTTCAATGCGATTTCTGTTTTGTTTGTACAAAGCAATGCTGTAGTTCCTTAGCCAATCACAATGTTTTTGCCTCCCTCTCAGGATTTGCACAGTATCTGGCACACTAGATGTAAGAGCAGTGAGCTGTTTTAAGTGACCCAGTATTGCAGTGGTTGGATGTGGAAAGAAATTGTGGTGTTCTCCTTTTTGTAGTATTTGTTGTGCATTCAATTGTGGCTTTACGGCTGCACTGATCCGTGCAAGTGAAAGGTTTTGACACCAATGTCTCCCAAGTTCAAGCTGTTTACTCTGTGTTCTGTGATGTATTCAATGTTGTACCTTTTGTTTGTAAATAAGTGTCTTGACATTTTATTTTTATGACCAAATGATCGCTGTTGTGTTAAAATGATATTGTATTTTCCATCCATACTTTCCTTATTTTAGTTTCATATTCTGATTCTTTCGGTTGGGTAGCTAGGCAGTCCAAAGCACACAAAAAAACGGTGCTGGTTTCCGAAATGATAGACCAGACAGAGCCAGAGCAGCAGATCTGTCACTGCTTGCATTGCATTCTGTAGGTGTGCGCAAGACCTGCTGCAGAAACAAACGCCTTGATAGTCGGAGCACTGCAACCTCTGGTTTGGGGATGGCATGTTACACATGAGCCCACTTTGCTGATAGTATTCTGTCGGTGCAGTGAAACTGTATGATAAACATATTACAAAAGGAGTTTCCATCACTGTAACCCAAAAGACAGTTTTGACCTCTGAATTTTCCTCAGCAGACTATATTCTGTGTCAGACTGCGAGAGGGGGCTGTCCCCTCATCATTGGTAGCTTTTGTGTTCATGAAATTCCAATTAGCCTGTATTCCTAAAATTCTAAAGCGGAATATTAAAACAGTATTTTTGTCAGAGGTTCAAATTACATTTGACATTCAGTTATGTGACAAAAGCTGACAGAATCTTAAAAAGCACTGTGCTGCAAATTTCATTTTATGTAATCTGTACAGAATTCAACAGTGCAGAATGTGCCATATCTATGTGCTTTACTGTATTTTGTATTTAACTGGTTGTCTTCTGAACTGGTCTATCATTTTTCTTAAAATAAGCTTGAAAGTGCATATTAAATCATCTACTGTATACCTTTAGTTACAGAATATTGAGTTTTTTAAGGCAATTATAAAAAGTTGTGGTACGGTATATGTCGTGCAGAGTACACCAAAGTTGACATTTTCTTATGCTTTTCATATACTGTACATAATTGTTTTTAGCTAATTAGGGTTACCTTTTAAGCTCAAATTCGCATCACGTTCCTATACAGATACTGTATGAACACAGTGAGGATTATACAACAAAAATACATTCTTGCAGTTGTGGACCTACTAGTTCAGTGTAACTTACCTTTTATAGGACAAAGTGTAGTGCCAATTAGAATGCTATATCTATGAAAAGAAATTTGAGAGAAAAGAAAAACTTGAATGTTTGTTTGGAAGAAGCCTTACAGTCCTAATTATGCTTAAATGCAAACGGAATATGAGGCTTAAAAATAAATTTCAAGCACTTTCAAGCCTGTTTAAATATCTTAAGGCAGAAGACCTTGTTCTCTTTACCATGCGAGATACAATCGAACTGTATCCATTTAACAGAAAACAAGCATTATACATCACAGAAGCATTGCCATATTATACATCTCAAGCCATAAAGACAACATCTTTCCTCATTAACCATGACCTCCATTTCACATGGTTAAAAGCAGCATTTTATCGAAGTGGGTAGATAAATGTATGCACCTGTTCTACATAAAAACAGAGCAGACAAAGGCATTTGTCCTTTTTTTTACAGTATTCCCAGCAGAAAAATAACTTTCGTGTTTCAGGGATTTCTTGGGATTTCTGAGAAACATTTTGTTGGCACATGCTTAATGAAAAGAAAACACACATTTAAAAGAGTTTTGGCTTTCTGACTCGTAGGGGCCCAATTTATGTTATATAAGTACTGTATGAACTGTATAAGTATGCTATATAGTTATTTCAGATTATGTTATACTGTGTATAATGTCACTTATATGACATTTTTGCTGTATTTACAGTACATTATTGTAGTAGATAAGCCACATCTGTACAATGACACTGAGAAGCAGCCTTCTGAGGAAGAGGATTGAATTTTTTGTGAATGTGCCGCAGGAAAGAAGCTTCATGTGCAGCAGTGCGAGTGCTGTGTTGTGAAAGGTCATTCACTCAGTCTGCTGAAGACAGTGCATATGAATAAAATGCTGCTGATCGTTCTCACTGCTGCTCATCCCCCCATCATGTGTAGCATTTTATCCCATGTGAACTGTCTCAGAAGTGTATGTCAGTACACTTCAGACAGAGCGGTAGTCATGATTTGCAGAAATACAGATTCAGCTCAGTTGTGCCTCATTGGCGTCTTTTAACGGATTCTGTCCGTCTCCCCACGCTGTGTAGGAGAAAAGGTGATGCAGGATGATGAATTCACCTGTGACCTCTTTCGCTTCCTGCAGCTCCTCTGTGAAGGACACAACTCAGGTTTGTAATGCACAAAGCGGCTAGAATAAAATGAAGACTCATAGATTTAAGAATTATTTATTTTGGTGCTTTTGAAGATCCGTTTTTTTTTTTACACGTTGTATTAACTGGCTGTTTGGTCCTGGATAACACTTGGCTCTTATGCGATATTAGTTTGAATTAAGGAAGCATAAAAAATAGTTTTCATTGTAATATTTAATGCAAAGTGTTCTATGTCCACAGATTTTCAAAATTACCTCAGGACGCAAACTGGAAACAACACAACTGTCAACATTATCATTTCTACCGTTGACTATCTTCTGAGAGTTCAGGTGAGAATCAACATTTTTACTGCTTTGTTATGTTGATTGTGTATTTCTAGATAATAGCAAACTATAAATAATGACACTCAAAATTTCCATAATATTGAATTATGTTTGTGTGACACACCATGAAGTGGATAGTACCAGGGTGGGAGACCTCCTGGGAAGCTACTGTATGGTTGCCACTGGAAGTGGTGTTAGTGGGACCAGCGAGGGGCGCCCACCCTGCAGTCGGTGTGGGTCTTAATACCCCAGTATAGTGGCGGGGACACTATCCTGTAGTGGGCAGCCATCTTTCGGGTGAGACGTTAAACCGAGGTCCTGACTCTCAGTGGTCATTAAAGATTCACAGGTATTTCTCGATAAGGGTAGGGAGTTATCCCTGTATCCGGGCCAAATTTCCCCCCTCTGCCTTAAGTGTGGCCTCCAAACAGTCCCCATGGATGATGGGCTTGCACTGGCCCTGCAATGGACTGGCGTCCTGTCCAGGGTGTACCCTGCCTTGCACTCGTTCCAGCTTCCCGCCACACTGTATGGTACAGTGTATAAAGCGGTTTGGCAAATGACATGACATAAGTTACACGAAAAACTACCCATAGTTCGTCATTTTAAAGTTTTCTAATACAGGTCACTCATAATAAAAGCAAATGCATTAGTACTATTTTGACCTTTGCAACAACTGAAGTAGTTGTAAACTGTTAAAACTATTGCGGTTTTTGGCTGTCATTGCACTTTGTGAGAAGTTTTGGAACTCATATTTTTTTGCATATTTAATATCTCTCAATATATATATAGAATGCATCTAAGAGGAACATGAATAGTAAATACAGTATATTAAAATGTTAATATTAAAGGATTATATCGGCCTTTATCAGAGGTAAACTGTAAGAAAACATATTTTTTACTTATGAGTACCTCAAACAGTAGGTCATATAATGTCAGACAAAAAGTTCCAGATTAAAAAAAAAACATTTGTTTAATTGCTATTGCTATAAATTGCTGTTTTCTGGAGTACTGTACTTGTTTTTGCACATTTATTTCTGCAGGAGTCAATCAGTGATTTCTACTGGTATTACTCGGGAAAAGACGTCATTGATGAACAAGGACAGCGCAATTTCTCCAAGGCGATCAATGTAGCAAAACAGGTGTTCAACACACTTACAGAGTATATTCAGGTATACTGCTGGCTATAAGCCAAGCATTTTACAATGTTGGTTAGATAAGTTTAGACAAGATGGATAAGAAAAATGATTTGAAGGAGACTGAACTACATGGGTAGTCCTAATGATTTAGCCCCTACAATACAGTATATATGTTTTTGAAATGTCCTGTTAATGGCAGTTAATGTTAACTATTTTTTTTTGGCACAATTGGTGCTCTGTTTAGGGATTTTAGATGTGATGAAAGATGCATGTGGGGTTAAAAGTTCCCAAACCACACTTTACAATTAATGCAAGAATTTGTTAATTGCGTGAACTGTTCATTCGATTAGGTTTCCCCGATATTGATTGGATTCTATAGTGAGAAGTATTTTTGGTTTTTGTTTTTTTACAGAGAGCATGTACTTCGCTCAATGTACACTGTACTGTACATCACAGGCACTGACTCTTTCTCCTGTTCAGATCATTAGGGGAAGGGGCGGGGCTCAGCACTGTTGCAGGCAACGACGGCCATTTTCTTTAAAAACACATGACTGACAATCAATTTCCTCAGTGGGTGCTCAGCCTCCCATAAACCTACTCCCATAAGGGAGTAAATTCCTAACCGTAGCGGGCTGGAGATTGCCTCTTCCTTCACAAAAGTCCCTCCTTGCAAACTACTAGCACTGCTTCATGAATGGAACTATAAGAAAATTAAAAGTTACAAAAAGGGAAAAAAAGAACTTTACTGGGTTTCAAGTTATTCTTCGCTCTTTTTGCTCCACATTAGGGCCCCTGTACTGGAAACCAGCAGAGCCTAGCTCACAGTCGCCTTTGGGATGCTGTAGTAGGATTTCTCCACGTGTTTGCACACATGCAAATGAAGCTATCGCAGGTTTGTATCATACAGATATTTATGCAGTTTTTGATATACTGTATGTAAAACTTTGCTTACTTAACTTTTTCATCAGAGAACAGGAAAAGCTCAAATTGAGATTGATCGATTTAACCTATCACTGGTTTTCTTTATGTTCCTATCGAGGTAGGGGATCTACTGTATCACACTATCAAGCATAACTTGAAAGGCCCTAGAAACTTTGCCTCCACAGTGTACCCTGGTGATCAATGCAGACATTGATTACTCTGTTAAATAGTGTTCTGTAGTACTGTATTATGGTGAAATTGATTTTAGCAGACTTCCAGTTTTCACAGTTTTAATTGCTCAACTGCAGAAAACTGACATTCCTCTGGGTAAGAATGTGGCACATAAACAACAAATACAAAATGGGAAATATCAAGCTTGGAGCAGTAACTCATGACACATACTTATCACTTACTGTAACTGTTTAGTTTAACTGAAAATGATATAAATGATATGCCAATATAGACAATTTGGGAATCAATATTATAAAAAGGCAAGTAGAATGTTAGAAAATATTGTTCAATGTGTAGAATGTAAAGTAGATAGATACTGTAGATCGTGTTTTAAAATTGTATAATGCAACAGCCAGAACTCATTTAGAATATTATAAATTCTGCCACTATGCTACAGAAAATATTGGTGGTCTAGAATCGGTTTAAAGAAGAGCATCCAATTGTATCCCTTGGCTCAAAGGAATGTGATAGGCTTAAAAAACTGATTTTCTTTGGTCTTGAACAGAGGAAATGACTAGGAGTCTTGGTTCAAGTATTCTAAATCTTTGAATAATCTGGCATTGACAAAGTTAGCTGTTTTGAGTTGTGAGCTCTCTTTAATCATTTCAAATATCTCAATCAAGTCTTCTCTCAGATGTTTTTTTAATGTGCCTTAAGTCTTCTTAACTCCTTTCCTTAAGCACTGGGATGAGTCTTGTCCTCTTCTCTGGATTTTCCAATGCTTCTTGACCCCTTTTGAAAGTGGACACCAGAAATTCCTGTAGTTCTTTAATTGTGATCTACAGTAACATATATGACCCTGTACTGTACACTCTTTACTGTATAACCAAGCATTCCTTTTGCCTTTTGCCTTTTTATTTTTGTGCATTTTCTAGATGCTGCAAGTGATAAACAAAATGTCTGTTTCTCTGTCTTTTGCAGAGAAACGTCTCATCTGTTATACATTTGTTTTTCCAAGTACTGTATAAACTGTTAACAAACAAGACTTCATCTTGCATGAAGAGTGCTGCTTCTGTCTTTGCAAAATCTAACTCAGATTCTCCTGTCTGTTGCAATCGCTGCAGTGGTTAAAAAGATAATTTGTAATTTTAAGCATATAGCTTCACTGTATTTGAAGGACATTTTAGGAAAAATCAGTTAATTAATTGTAGGCTGTATGTTTTTTTGTTGTTTATACAAAGTATTCTTGTGCGAAATCTTGAGATGCAAGGAATAGAATGATGTTTTTTGAATTAAATTTGATTGAACCCCAGTTCCCACTAAAATAACATCAAAATCTGTGCCTCTTGTTGGGTTAAATATGTCCCAAATTTTCCTTATTATAAGCAAATCTTAGCATTAGCATTAGCATTAGCATTTACAAACAAATTTCCTTTGACATTTATTTGCCTACTACTGAAACTAATTGCATCATAGCTGTAGGCATATTTCTCCCAAGCTTTCTCTCTTTAGCAAAATGACTAACTTGCTTCTGACACCTTGATTATTCCCTGACAGAATAAAATGAGTACCTGTGACATACAGTATTTAAATAACATAGAGTAATCCAGCCATGCCTAGGAGCAATTGTAGTGATAAATATATGTATACTGTATATTCAAGTTCAAAATAAAGTTCAAGTTCAAGTACCAGCACACATTTTATGGATATATAATTCAATGGCTATTATAACAGTATTATTACACCTGTTTTTCTTCCTCATGGCCCTTGGTGTTTTACACGTTGTGAATGTTTCAATTTCTGACGTGTGAATTCCTGGATCAGTATATTTAATATATTTAATAATATTAACATATTAAAATATTGTAATACTGTATGCTAACATATTACCAAATAGGACCCCATGTACAGTGTGTATGTGTACAGATCATATATTTATACACATTACACAAACATTCATGAATGCTCAGTTCACTGTAGCAGATGTGGCAGTGTTCTTGCCAAAAGAATGGCCGACCGAAGTGAAAATGTAATATGTTTGTCATTTGTAGGATTCCAGTCAAATTGAATTGCTGAAAGAGTTAATGGATCTCCAAAAGGACATGGTTGTAATGCTGCTGTCCATGTTAGAAGGTAGGTTTGGCCAAAGTAAAACTTCAACACTGGTACAGCTTTACAACCCTTTATGTTTCAACATGAATCACTATATCCAGCTTATACAGTATGTAAGCTTAGTAACGTTCACTATTACTGTTATCACCATGTACAAAAGATAGCAAAAAAACACTCCTCTTTTAAAGTCAGTGACTTTGTTTAATCTGACTTTGACAGCAGCACATTGTTTTCTCAGGGACTAGAATGTGGGAGCTTCTCCATTAAAACGATAGATTTCGATTAAGTAGCTGTGTACATCAATTAAAAAATCAGAGTTTCCTTGAATCACTTCATTTAGTTACAGTAGGAAAGGTGCCTTATGCATTGTGGTTATGTTATTTGTCTGAAACATTTATGAAAGTGCTCATGTTTTACATTGTTAAATTTGTAAACGTAAGCATACCAATACACATTCTTGGGATTAAAAGACCAGTTACTATTATATTCTTTTGCACAGCAAAATGTGTGTGTCAAATGTAGCAAGACTAATGGATATACTGTATATAGATTTCCTAGTATGTTATTTTCTAATTATTTTTTTTAAAAGTGCATATTTAATGTGTTTGCAAAAACCCACTTAATTTTCTCACTTTGTTTGTCCTGGATGAACAGTCATTTTAAATCTGTCATTGACAGAATTTTTTTTTGTTTCCTTAGGGAATGTGGTTAATGGAACTATTGGTAAACAGATGGTTGACATGTTAGTAGAGTCCTCAAACAATGTGGAGATGATTTTGAAGTTCTTTGACATGTTCCTCAAACTCAAAGATCTGACGTCCTCAGACACCTTCAAGGAGTACGACCCTGATGGGAAAGGGGTTATCTCAAAGAGGGATTTCCAGAAAGCAATGGAAAGCCACAAACACTATACTCAGTCAGAAACAGAGTTCCTGCTTTCTTGTGCAGAGACAGATGAAAATGAGCTCTTGGACTATGAAGAGTTTGTGGAGAGGTTCCATGAACCTGCCAAGGATATTGGCTTCAATGTGGCTGTCTTGCTCACCAACCTGTCCGAACACATGCCCCATGATACCCGCCTCCAGACCTTTCTGGAACTCGCAGAAAGCGTGCTTAATTATTTCCAGCCTTATCTGGGTCGCATTGAGATCATGGGGAGTGCCAAACGCATTGAGCGGGTCTACTTTGAGATCAGCGAGTCCAGCCGGACACAGTGGGAGAAGCCACAAGTCAAGGAGTCCAAACGGCAGTTCATCTTTGATGTTGTAAACGAGGGAGGGGAAAAAGAAAAAATGGAGCTCTTTGTAAATTTCTGTGAGGACACCATTTTTGAAATGCAGCTGGCTGCCCAGATCTCTGAATCAGATACTAATGAGAGGTCAGCCAGTAAGGAAGAGAATGAGAAAGAGAAGCCAGAGGACGACAATCCAGAAATGGGCTTCTTTTCTGTCACCACAGTACGATCTGCTCTTCTGGCCTTGCGGTACAATGTGATGATGTTAATGAAGGTGCTTTCCATGAAAAGCCTTAAGAAACAGATGAAAAAGATGAAGAAAATGACTGTGAAAGACATGGTTATGACACTTATCTCTTTCTACTGGAGTGTTTTGATGGGCCTTTTCCATTTCACATTCAGTGTTTCAAGAGGCTTTTTCCGAATAATGTACAGTACTTTTCTAGGGGGGAGTCTGGTGGAAGGAGCCAAACAAATTAAAGTGGCCGATCTCTTGGCCAACATGCCTGACCCAACCCAAGATGAGGTCCGTGGGGAAGGAGAGGAAGGCGAGAGGAAACTCACAGACAAATCGTTGCCTTCAGAAGACCTTGCAGACTTGGTGGTTGCCTCTGATGATACTGATCTCCTCTCAGACATTTTTGGGTTAGACTTGAGGAGGGAAGGAGGACAATATAAATTAATCCCTCATAATCCAAATGCTAGTTTGACTGATTTAATCACTTCTCCTGCTTCTCCTGTGCCTGCGCCTTCACCAGAGTTGAGAAGAAGACATAAGGTAATCAATGTAGTGCACAGCTGTTAACAAAGTGGAATGCTGCTTGTTTATGAAGGAAAAGTAATTGATTTTGGCTTGCAGAACATCTTTCAAAGATAAGAGATAGAAGATAATATTCTGTTACTATAAGATTCTAGAAAAACAGAAAAGGCTAAACATTTTGAGATGTGTATGTTTAAGTAAAAAGCATTTAAATATCTTTTATACATGTTGAGACAAATGAGACTTCTATGACCAAGTCATTACACAGATCTTAGTGAAGGTATATCTCTTCCCAAAACTGCTATCTTTCTCTGAGCATGACAGCTTTTCTTTCCGTACCACTGTTTCACAACAAGAAGTAGCATGAAGTAACCTAACTGGAGTAGCAGAACTTCATATACTGTACATATTCTTATACTGTACGTTCAGGTTTTAACATTGATCATACGGTTGGATGGCCTCTCTAAGCAGCTCATAGTTGTGTTTCTTTATTGTTTTAGGGTGAGGGGGTCTCAGTGGAAGACAGAGAAGATAAGGAAGAGAACAAATCTGAACCAGAAAAGGCAGAGTATGTTAAGTGCCTGACCTGTCTTCTTAGAGTCCTTATTCCTCACAAAAAATGGCTTTCGTGTTGCATGGTGGTTCCAATATGTAAACCTTCCTACAATTGTATGAAAAGTAATGAAAACGTATGCAATAAAAAACAAAAGAAAAATAAAAAAGACTCATTTTGCAGTAAAAGAGCAAGAATTTCTTCCAATGACATTGAACAGCCGTCTGATGCTCCTCAATTCAATTTTCTAAGGAAGATAAAAAATATACCAGTTGCAATATTTTATTCTATAATATAATATCAACATATGTTATATATTATAATATTGTTTTATTTATTTTTGTCATTTGGCATTGTTTTTGGTGCATGAAATATAAAAGACAATTTTGCCCTGAAGGCCAGTAACAAGTATCTCATTCTTTCAGAGGAGAAGATGGTGAAAAGAATGATAAGCCAAAGGAAGACAAGCCTAAACAGAAGATCAGGCAGCGTCACGCCTTGAAATCAGATGAGCCAGAAATCCAAGAGTCTGCATTTTGGAAGAAGATCTTAGCCTATCAGAGAAAGCTGCTTGTAAGAAACACTTCATGTTTGCCACGGTTTCGAAGCTTTTTGACATTCTATGACAGGCTGTGGGAAATGTTTAGGAAGTTAGATGTCTTAAAATCAATCAAGATGGTTAGAATGACTTTCATACAGTTAGTGAAAATTGCATAATAACTTTTACATTTGTCTTTTTAGAAAGTGCACACATTTGAGAATATTTCCTGAAACTGATCATGGCTTGTTAAAATGCTTCTTTGTAGTGTAAACATATATTTCTACAGTTAAATGTTTTAATAGTAATATTAAATAATATTATCATATTTTACTGTATATCAATATTAAAAATACTGTACCCTTTCTAAAATGATGGTAAGATAAAACTGTTGTAGATATGGGTACATTTCTTTAGAATCATTTCAAGCCAACTCATAACGGATGCACAAAATTACTAATTTCAAAAATGCATTTACAGTATTAAAACAACTGGGAAAGGCTCCGAATACAACATCACTTAAAAGATAAATTCTTCTTACCTTCCCTTCTGTTGAGTATGTTTGACAATGAGAAACAATATTCATTCTTTCCATTTTTAAGTATATTCAATAATATATTTGATGGAATATTTCCAAGGCAGTCATTGTTCAATATCAATGTATATACACACTTATAATGCTGTTTTTTCTTTTGCATTGCTTGTCTTCAGAATTACTTCGCAAGGAATTTTTACAACATGAGAATGCTGGCTTTGTTTGTTGCATTTGCAATAAACTTTATCCTCCTTTTTTATAAGGTGAGACATCCTCAGTTTATCAGTTTATCATTGAGCCAATTTATTTTGGAAAGTACTGAATTACTTAGTATTAAAACACTTGATGTAGTATTTTAAATTCAAACCTATTCATGTTAATTCAAATTCTGGATCAATAGTTGTTGAAGAGATGTTATTTCACTTTTATACGACAGAGCTAATTACAGTATACCTATTTCTTCATCGATCCAGTATAAGTCAAAGCTTGTTTCTCTGTAATGATATCTCCCACCACTTCGTGACATAGTTTGTGAACAATTAATTTCAAACTCAGTAGACAAAACTGCGTCATGTGCTATTATTTCTTTATGATTGACTCATAACCTAAATTCTGTAAATGGAATCAATCACATAATTTAAATGGAGTTTTTAATGAAAGTTTGGGAGGAATGAAGGCAGCCGCGCTCATTCGACACAGCTGCTGCAATTCTCACTAATCCCGACGTAAGCAACCGGTCTCCATAAATATCAAACGTCCCCCTCTCCTCTTCCTCGTTCGTTTTCTGCATCCCTCCTCCACCCCCTCTCCACCTTTGCAGCTGCCCCATTGGTCGCATGGGGGTCCTATCCTCCCCATCCAACGGCCGGGAGGTTGGCCCTCAGCCAAGCGGGTTACGCCAAATCTCCACATCACAATAAATGATTCTAATTTCTCCCAAGCTTTCAGCTGCTGTCATTCCTCGTGAAATTAAATGTTATGGTGCTTCATTGTGTGAAAATAGTCAAATTGTCTTGAAAAGTGCTGAAGAGTTTATTTATTTATTCCTTTATTTGTATGGTAGTTGCTATAAGAAAGACTTTAAAGAGAAATAAAGCATTCAGACCTACTTGTTTGTTGGCTAATTAGATCTGAGAATCTCATCGTTATTTCTGAAGTATTGCATGGCATCCACCTTGGTTCTAGAGAGTTGGCTCCAGTCTCCTGAAATGCTGTGGCCCATGGGCAACCTCGCTGACACATAACTTCAAAGTATATTTCCGTTTCAGTTTGTTTTTCCTGAATGTCAAAAACATTTTCTTAGTTTAAAAGGAGCTGGGGCGTGTTGGCCGCAAAGGGATGAGAAAAGGTTAATTTCGCACTGAGAAGCAGAAGAAAGGAAGGTTGTTTTCATTCATTTCTTTTTTCAACAGCAGGAAATGAACCTTTTCTTGTTCCTAGTTTTAGAGGACATCGACTCAATTTCCGTCAGTGTAACTGATGCTCTCGTCCCGGATTGGCAGGTGTCCACGTCCTCGGCGGTGATTGAGGAGAAGGAGGTGGTGTACAGTGGAGCAGGGGAAGGCAGCGCCAGGTGGACCTCTGTGAGCAGTGTGCCCCACAGGACCGTCACTGTGCACTATGTATTGGAGGAGAGCAGTGGCTACATGGAGCCTACTCTCAGAATACTGGCTATTCTGCACACCGTCATATCCTTCTTCTGCATTATAGGATACTACTGCTTAAAAGTAAGACTAAAGAACTGCATGTGTGCTAATCCTCTAAGCAAATTGCATTTTACATACAGAGTTCAGTATATTCTACAAGTATATGTATCCTGAAAATGGCCATGTGGATCCAGCGCGTGATGTACAGTGTAGGGTATGTAGTTAATTTCCTGTGGAGGGTGTTTTAGCAAGTGTGTGAAATTCTCACCAGCAGAGTGAGACGAGCTTAACCTAAGCTTGGCCACTTAAAAGCTTTAGATAAATTGTATTTTGTAAACGACTGACAAGCTCAATATAGACTGGGTTTGTTCCTATCTTAGTTCAGCTACGGTATCTGAATGATCTAAAGGCTAGGATGCATAAGAATACCTGTGCCTTCTGCTATTTATTGATTTTACTGAATGTGTAAGTTATATTAATTGTGTTTATGTATCAGGTTCCACTGGTTATTTTTAAAAGAGAGAAGGAGGTGGCCAGGAAATTGGAATTTGATGGGCTATACATAACAGAGCAGCCATCTGAGGATGACATTAAAGGCCAGTGGGACAGGCTGGTAATTAACACACAGTGAGTACATGATACACCCTTAATTATCACAGATAGCGGTTAGTTATGGTCACATGGGGTATGACTTGATTGCTATCCTGCAAGATGTCAAGGAGGTTACCCATGGGAAGCTGTAACTACAATATTAGCTCAGCTCTGTGTAGGCAAGAGGCTCCAATGAGGATTTACTGTATGAAGTCTCTTGTATTGTCACTCATTTTGAAGTTAATACATAATACATAATATATTGTTTATATGTGATAATACTGCACCCCCTTCAGTGTCACTTTATAAATTTTGTTCTATACTATAAATATATAGTATACAGTATGTATTTTAGATACAGTATAATATATTTTATCACAGAAGTATGACATACTGTATGTTTTGAAAAATATGAAAGATATCCTCTTTATTTTTGCTTTTCAGGTCTTTCCCTAACAACTACTGGGACAAGTTTGTTAAAAGAAAGGTGTGTTCTTAAAAATAATTTATCGGTAACTCCAAAGTACATTGCCATATGCTAACTGTGCATTTTTGCACTGAATTTTGATTGGAAGATTGAGTACAATTTGCATTTGGACGAAAGACTTGACTGCTTTAGGAAAGTGCTTTTAGATTTACAGTATATACAATAAATACAAATATACTCTATACAGTATATACAGTAACTACAGTATTGGTTTCCTCAGCCTGGATTAGCACTAATCTTAGACTACCTGATGATTTTTAGGTCTTGAGTATACACAGTACAGTAGCTAATATTGGTCTATGAAATCAACTGTAAGGGAGGGATTTGTTTTATCATTGAAAAATAAGGCAGTCTGAACACATTATTAAGATTATAGTTAGAAGAGTTGTGTGCACAATGAAAACATTGCAATTAAAAAAATCAGACGCAGTCAACAGAACTGTACATTACAAATTATTGAGATAAAGGATATGAGGTAAATATATCTGAGTGGTGAAATCTTTTAATATGATATCCTCCTGGCTGCCCGGCGCACAGTAAATATGGGATTGTCCCACACGCTTTAGATGCGTTGTTTCAATTGGGAGAAGTGCACATCGCCATAGTCTTCATCAGGAGAAGGTTGAATTCTAAAATAACTAAATAAGGATTCCTCTTCTCATATTATAGTATCAGCTCCATATCCATGTACTTGTTTTCTCATTTGCCTTGGAGGTCATGGACAAATACGGAGAATTTTACGGACGGGACAGAATCAGCGAGCTCTTGGGAATGGACAAAGCTGCTCTGGACTTCAGTGATACACAGGAGAAGAAGAAGCCAAAGAAAGACAGTTCATTGTCAGCTGTGTGAGTTGGGTTTTATTACTGGATTGAATTAAAGCCTCCGCAGAGTGACTGATAGTCCTGTTTATCTCCAGTTCTGTTTTTACAGTTATTATGTATTGTTTTGTAAAGCATACCAAAGTCTTGTAGCAAAATATTTTGGGCACAAAGCATAGTAAGAGTCTGTGCTCGTTTTGACTCTCTTCCTGTGACACGTATTTAGCTGGCAATGTGTAAAAGAGTGTGTAGTTAAATGATAATGTTTTCTATAGTGTTTCCAATCAATAGATGGCACTAATGTTAAATGGCAAACTGAAGTGATCAGTTCTGACTGAAGGATAATGTTTATTGAGCCAACAATGAGACTCTACATTACCTAAAAGAGATTCAAGTATTTCGAATTGAAATTCATCTCTTACTTTTACTTAAGTAAAAGGTTAGAATGATAAACAAATAGGGAATAAAGCAAGACTGACTTGATATAGCCATGGGATTCACCAACTGAAATGTTTTCAGAAGTAACTATAGTTTACTGCAGTTGTAGGTACAGTGAATTAATCACCCGAATCTTAGTACTTGTCAACTACTTGACTGTAGGAGTGCCCCTTATTTTTATAGCGGTGGAAGTCTTCCTTTTTTATTGTGATGGGAGCAATCAGTGTTTCTTGCAGTTTAATCACAAACACTTTTTTATGGTTTTTGTTTCGTTATAGGTTAAACTCTATTGATGTGAAGTATCAGATCTGGAAACTGGGAGTCGTTTTTACAGACAACGTACGTAAGCAAAGAGATTTCTGTATTGTGTAGCACAGCTGGGGAAATAACAGTAACAAGTTACTTACTGTATATAAGCGATTACCTTTCATGATGAACAGCAACTTGGAGGGAAGAATTTTGAATGGTAATGATTTTCAGTGATATATGTTGTATGTGTACCATAAAATAATGTACTGTATTTTCTCTTTAATCATTTCCCCTACATTTTCTATTTTAAACGTAAATCTCTTACATACTGTAAATAATCACTTTACTTCTCAGAAGTAACTTAGCCAGTCTCTGTTGTCAAATATTTGCATGATTATAATTTTTATAGGGGTACAGTAATCATTTTCACCTATTTTTCAGCAATCAATAGGCCAGAGAAAAATGTTAGTATCAGCCAATCAAAGACATGGCTCAAAAACGGTTTCCTTTATTTTGCAGTCGTTCCTGTATCTTGCCTGGTATATGACGATGTCAGTCCTTGGCCACTACAATAATTTCTTCTTTGCGGCACATCTTCTTGATATAGCCATGGGATTCAAGACATTGCGAACCATTCTGTCTTCTGTCACACACAACGGCAAGCAGGTATCTTTGCACAAATTGATAGTGATAAAGGCACTTGTGGGTGGGGGGTGTTTTTAATTCTTCATAGAACTGCTCACGAGAGATGTACAGTAGGAGTGTGGTGGTTTCCCGGAGTGCTTACCCATTTTCTGCTGTGCTTGATTGCTGTCCTTTGTTTGTACTGTGCTAGAATGAACTTTATTAGGGACATAAAAATACATACATAGAGGAATATCCAATGAAGACATATCTTTTTTTTCCTGACAGAAATTTTTTTGAAATTAATTTCCTTATTTATTATTTTCAGCTGGTATTAACTGTAGGACTGCTGGCTGTGGTTGTGTATCTGTATACTGTGGTGGCCTTCAATTTTTTCCGCAAATTCTACAACAAGAGTGAAGACGGAGACATTCCTGATATGAAATGTGATGATATGCTCACAGTAAGTATGTTTATTGTGTAGGCTAGGATTGTGTATGCTACTGTATGTCATGCTGGGAACAAGATTTATGAGATTGTAATAATAAAGTATACAGTATACTTGTGATATGCATTATCTTTGTGTCCTGTGAAATGCATGGGTTCTCTTTCTGATTACCACCCTGTAAAGTAACACACAATGTTCATGTGTCAACGCAGTGCGGAACAGCACAGCTATAATCATATGGTTGCCTTATTACTTTTTAATTATTTCTGCCATGCATTAATAGACTCAACTATTAAATATGTCAATGTTTTAATTGAAAATTCTCAAAGATTTTTTCTTTTTAATAACTTTTTGGATGCTACATACTGTACAAAAGTATATCCTCTATGGATTTTAGTTGTTGCCTGAGCTTCCTCAGACTCTAAGAATTTTAAGTAGCCCTGTTTGCTTGAGATTGACAAGTGAATACATTAGTGTACCGGTTCTTAAATTGTAATTATCTAAGTCTCTGGGGCTGCAGTACAGATGTTTGGAACCTTTTTTAGCAAAACACTGCATTCAAATTGAAATTAATTTATCAGTCTTGCACAATGGAACATTAATAGCTGATGATTCCTTGAGGTCCCAAGGGATCTAAATTAGCTGCACAATTGCTTCCCAGATTCTTAATTGCTCTCAATTTTAATTGACATTGCATAGAGGTTCTGTAAAAATACAGTACTAATACACCATTGTTAAAAATAAGGCACACTGCAGACATTCAAAACAATCTGGAGCCACTGTAAAGGGATTAGATTCTGTGGTCCATGAACTGTGTTCACTCTAGGCTTAATGTCAAGATGTTTTTAATTGAAGGCAATGCAGTGCAAAGAGCAGATTGAGACATATTGCACTGAGAAAGGTATTTCTGTGACAGTTGACACTGCATACATGTAAATATGCCACTCAAGGCAGAATCTGAGATTAGTACCTTTCCTGATACAAAGTTTGAAGTGACAGAAGATATCAACTTTATGCTCTGCCTCCCTTCTCTTAATCCTGCTGGATTCAGTGAACCATACTAGTCTATCTCCAGTTCTCTGTTCTAATTAAGGACAGGTCAGGGACTAAAGGGTCATCTGTTTCCTTCTAGAGAAGGTGACAATGGCTTAGCTTCCTGCAGTTCTTGGCAAAATTAAGAGCTAAGATTGATGTCTCAAGTGCCTTTTGTTACATAATGTGAATTTTATTTTTAAGCACTACAGTGAACAGTTCTTATTTTTTTGCATGGAGAATATGTATTACACAGCATGTTTGAAATTCCGTTTTTTAAAGTGAAGGCAAGCAATGAAATAAATATTGAAAACACCTATTGTGTATCCACACAAATTGTCTACAGTATATACTGTATATATATATCTTTAAGTACTGTATTTAGTCTTATAATTTCAATCTATTAGCAGTCAACAGTAAATAATAGTATATAAACTGTAAGATGTTGATATAGAGATGTTAGAAAGGATGTACTGTATATGTCTATTACATGTAGGAACCATGTTAATTTGAATTGTAACGCAGGTTTTTTGGATGTTTGTGATTTAGGAATGCTGAATGATTCATATACAGTACAGTACTGAAAACGTGCATGGTGCACAGGTTAAACGTGGGTTTAGGCTGGTGAGATATGTGATTCTTTTTTAAATAAAATCTAAGTACTGTAGGTTAAGGTTCTAGGTACATTTTTTTTGTTTCTCAGTGCTACATGTTCCACATGTATGTGGGTGTGCGGGCTGGAGGAGGGATTGGGGATGAGATTGAAGATCCTGCAGGAGATGAGTACGAGATCTACAGGATTATTTTTGACATCACCTTCTTCTTCTTTGTCATTGTTATCCTGCTGGCCATCATTCAGGGTAAGACTGATTCTCTTCCTTTTACCAAGAGTGCAAGTTGACTGTTGAGCAAGGTCACCCAGGTGAAGCTCTTCATTTTCTTTTGAGTGATATAACTTGAAAGTTCACAGTCCTACATGTGCAGGGTAGTCTTTGTTTATTATAATGTAGGTTTATAACTAGAATATATTTGAAATATCTGTTTTCTTTAGGTATACAAGTACTCATGAATGTACTAACCTTTCCTATTAGTATGTTACTGATATTATCAGGAAAACATTGGATACATGTACATAAATATTTTTCAGGTTTAATAATTGATGCCTTTGGTGAATTGCGAGACCAGCAAGAGCAGGTGAAAGAAGATATGGAGGTGAGGATTATATTCTTTCTCATGCCTGCATTTTGGTATTGTGCTCTGAGCAGCATATTTCCGATGGGTTTCATATTTTTGCTGTTACAGCGAGAAGCTGTGAAACCCAAACAGTATAATTGACTTGTGGTGTTGTGTGTGGTGTCTCATCAGTTACTATCTGGCTGTTTGTGTAATTTGAGAATGTGAAGAATTATCATTTTCTCATTGGGCAGTCACCCAGAAAGACTGATAATTACAAGTTATCTTTGTAATTGTGACTCATTGGTCTACTTTTGGATGTACACTAACTTGTTTAAGTGAGCTGATCTTATAAATGCAACATTTCAGGGAGAGTTCCTTCATGGTAGAGTATAATGCACATGTAAGGAAAGCTCATGTTTTTTTTTAATATTTTAGATTTTGATGTAATGTCTTTTGGTCACATCCGCATGTATTATTTCCATGAAATGTAACATACTGATCGTTGCTCCATCTTTGTTTTCCCCCTCAACTTTCAATTCATAATGGGTCAGACATTCACACTATAAGCAGACTTTGTGGTTGAATTCCTATGCCCAGCATCCGGCACATGCTCTGGTTCATGCTTATTTCAAACTTCACCCTGCTATTTAACACCAAACACATAAAAAGGATCAATTAAGGTTCAGTAAGCTTAATTAATGAAGGAGCTCAGCTGGAATAGAAACAAACAAACAAAAGACTCAGGAATACACCATGACCAGGGATCGGAACCCTCGATTTAACGAGGGTAATTTGAAGCCATAGTGAAATGCATGGGTGGCAAAACAAACTCAGAGTTGGCCTTGACAGTAACTAGGATTAATGGCTTTGTGGATTAATCTGAATGTAATTCTGTGGTCACAGGTTAGAGGACTTTTTAGTTTTTCCCAAGCAGTGAATAACAAAATAAATAAAAATTAGTAGTGATTACATTAAAAAGCAAAATCTATGCTTGTGAATGGCAAATGACATGAAGTAGAAATGACTCACAAGGTTGTCGGTTTTGAGGTGGGTCACCTTTTTCCTTAAAACAAGAGTAAATAGAGATCAGAAAAACTCCCAGTAGAAAATGGCATCTGTTGTGACTGGTGATCAGCATTAGAAGTGGTCTCTACACAGAATGAATGCATTTCATGAAAAGGGCATTGCAGATCTTAAAATACGAAGGCCTTATAGCATTTTGGCTCATGCCCTTTTCATACAAAGTGGCAGGATCCCTTTGCACATAATCTGTTCTTGAGCTCAGAAAGCGATCTGGGCAAGATGCACTTTAACAGAACACGCATTTGTTAGGCAGGTTCAAGAGAGAAGAGAAAATGCTTAATCTCATGCATGTACTGCAAATAAGTGAAATAAAAGATAAAATGGAGACACATTTCTCATGTAACCAAACAGTCAGTGATTAATACACTATCATCTGCCATGCTGCAGCTCCTTGGCTGTTTTGGCCAGGTTTGTAATGAGAGTTTCATGACCCTCATCCTTTTTACCAGGTTTGTATTCCTGAAGACAGCGCTTCCTGGGCGTTTTAGATTGTACCCCCTCCTCCCTTTCCCATTCTTTTTGTCTTAATGTGGTAGGCAGTGGAAGGGGGATGCAGGAGTCTATATATACTGTACATATATATATATAAAAGTGTATCCACAGTGTGATGGACATGTTTTATTAATTGTAGTTCTTTCAGTGGTTGGCTCTGTATACAGTACGTATTTACAGCACACACAGTAATGAATAATTTAATTATTGCCCTTAAACTCTTCAATATGATTTATATCCATAAAAAAGTATTTCGATATACTGTAAATTATTAATGTTACTTGTGTCAGTACTATTTAACTATCTGTAACTTAGACAGTAACTATGGGCAGTAAGGTCTCTACAAAACAACTTGAGTGATTGCTCAGAAGCCAAATGATGTTCAAAGACTTTCAGATTTTTCTCCTTGTGATACAGTTTAAGGATTGATACAACAATTTAGACTGAAACTTTCCTTTCTGTTGTCAACACAGTAAATTTATATAAGAATCAAACCGTGCAAACATGGCCTAAAAAATGTTAAATCTCTTTTTTTCAGTAGCAGTTGAGTTGGTGAGATACTTCCAGTACTATAGGTGTGATATACTCACCTTACTTATGGGTACTACTAGTTCAACAAATTGATACATTTTCAGGATTAGTGGACTGAAGACGGAAGCACTTTACTGTGGCGTTTGATAATGAAGATTAATTTAATATCACTGTACATTGTATTTTTTAAAGCCTATTCCTATTTGGCTTGACAGAGTAAATTTTCCTTTTCCATTTTCTCATTTGCGTTATAAGTTTCAAAAGTCTTCCCCTTCCTTGAGAGACATTTTCAAGCATTCCATCTCAAAAACCTACGTGGATTCTAATACTTTAATCTGCATGGGATTTACCAAAAGACACAAGTATCAGGAAAATAATCTGGGATAAAAAAAACACTTAAATTTGACTAATTTTAGTAAAATGTTAGAACCCAATGGTTAATGTTAATCCCTTGTGCCTAAATAACACCTGTTAAAGCTCATACCACACACTTTGTCAATTGCTAGCAAACCTACACAGATCTTTCAAATGTACAGCACTACAGTATCTAGCTATCTTGATGTTTGTGGATACGTCAGATCTTGTCTATTTAGTGGGCAGGAGAACAGAGTAATTTGAGGACTGGTGCATTGCTCACTTACATAGCCCTGAGCTCATGGGTGACCAAGGCATCCTAGCCAGAACAATGTGGTGCTTTACAAGTTGTGCACTGCCTCCTAGAAAATGGTGGACATTGTAGGCTAATGATATATCCTAGCCTCAAGCTTGACAGCCAGAGCTCAACTGAACTCCAAGTGAGGGCCTCACCTGAAACCCTAACTTCGATAAACCATAGCTTGCAGGGAATACTGCATTAATAAGTAAACTAATTCTTGTCACCTGTGGCTGACCGGTGAAGTGTGCACTTTCTTAACTGCTATAGGCAGATGTATTTTGTAGCTCACCATGAGATAAACTTAATGCGAAGAAGCATTGCCTTTTAAAATGCGGATTTGCCATTTATCAGCTATTCACACCTTTGCAGACTACTGTATATCTTTTAAACATTATCTGAGTTGGGTCCTTAAAATTGCCATGTTCTCGAGGCAGTGCTATCAATTTTAGTAGGTAGTGCGCTTCTAGGAAAAGACAAGGAGGAGGAGGAAAAGGAAGATGGTTTAAGTTAAAGTATGGTGTTCCAGTCGGAGATCTTTAGAAGTTTGCATCTTTAAAATGGCAAAAGATTGTAATTTTAATTTGAAAAGTTACAGGACTGCATACATTTTGTATTCTTAAAATATTAATTGCTTTCAAGTGTTATTGCGAAATTCAACCACTGTGGTAAAAATACACTAGCTACTGCATAGTAAAAGTCACCAGTTGCTTTTCTTTCATTTTGCTTAGTTGTGGTTTGCAGTGGTAGACGATTACTAATAGCATCAGAAACTTCTTTTTCTTTTGCAGACCAAATGCTTCATCTGTGGAATTGGCAACGACTACTTTGACACAGTCCCCCATGGCTTCGAAACTCACACGCTGCAGGAGCACAATTTGGCCAACTATCTGTGAGTATACAACGTGCTTGTGTGTCAGTCACATTTGGCAGCCAAGTTCCCCTGCTGGTACTGTGAAAAGGCAGAAGAAAGAGTAATGAGCTGCATGTGCTTGGATTGCATTCTGTCACTCGTCAGGCAGCACCGTAGAGTACAAGACTTTCACTGCTGATGAAGCTTGTATTGAAGAAATGTAAATCTATGGCAAAGTTACTAGTAAACTGATTATTTCCAGCAAGGAAATGAACATAACAGTGAGACACTCAAAGCAGACATCCAGCGGGCCATTTTAGTATGAATATTTAAGCCTTTGGGAAATTACACAGCAAAGGCTTCTAGGGACCAATATTTAGACTATTTTCTTCACGCTGTTTATTCTTTTTCGTTTGGATTATTAGCAGGAATTGTTAAACAGAGGGCGTCTTCCCTAAAGACTGAAGTCTGAGGGTTCATCTAGTAAATATTCATCATGCAAGCTAAAGCGTGTTGTGTCAACCACTTGACTGTTGGTTGCTCTCTGAATATCCTTCTTATAATTCATACCAAATGAAATTTATAATTTAAAGTGCCTTTTCTTCCTATTTATACACTTCATAAATATTCAGTGCCTATCGGTTAATTTAGAGGTCAACTTATGAGAGGAAGCTCCTTATATTTTACATATAAAGAAGAGTTACTACATACTGTATACACTTAATTATAATATTGTATATATACAAATATATATAAATATTTTAAAATATATATAAAAATGCATATTAGGTTTCTTGTATAGAATGTTGTATATTAATTTTTACACACACTTTGAAAATATTCGGTATATGCCAGCTTCATAAATACTTAACACTGCAGTAAGGTTGGTTGACTGCCACCAGTTATTAATTTAATACCCCTTTCATTTTTAAATGCTACATTATTTTAATAAATGTAGTTTTTCCACAGTTTCTGTGTGCATAGTACTTACACGTTTTCTTTTTTCCAGATTTTTTGTGATGTATCTCATTAACAAAGACGAAACTGAGCACACAGGACAGGTAATGTGAATATGAAATGTAAACATTATACCTCATGAAACATTTGGTTTAAATAGATAAGACATGCACAGTAAGCCAGATGGTTTTACGTTCTGCAATCCCTGTAAAAAAAGAATAAAAAAATAAGATGTTCTGTCAGAACTAGATAAATCAATGTTATTGTTTGCAACAAACAAATGAACAGAATATAACAACCTTAAAAGTTGGTTACCAAAGATATTGTGCTATTCCTGACAGGAATCCTATGTGTGGAAGATGTACCAGGAGCGTTGCTGGGAATTCTTTCCGGCTGGAGACTGCTTTCGCAAACAATATGAAGACCAACTCAACTGAATACAGACTTTACTCTTTCTTACAGCAAAAAGAAGAAGGCGAATCACCTTCGAATTACTTCCTTTGGAATGCTTTTCAAAATTTGTACATATATGATACACTGTATATCATTCACTGTGTGCTTTTGGAGCACAAAAGCTGTGTTTTGATGACTTAATGCTTCATCTATACATTTGCTTTAAAAACTCACATTGAAAAGCAAAAAAAAATAAAAAAGAAAATCTCACATTGATTTGACTGACTCTGGAGACTTCTGGGAAATGTCTTTATTTGGAGAGCACATGTATAAAAAAAAAAGGCAATTATCTTGCTCATCCTAAGTCTCTTTATTTCTTCATCCGGAATGAGATTGTATATTTTGTCGTGTACAGTGGAGATACAAGAATGGACTAAGGGCAGTGATGGGGAAATAGTGCCTTACTTAGTGCAGGTTGAGCTATGCAAGTGGAAAAAGTCGAGTGCATGACTATGTCACAAAACTAATCATTGTCAGATGTATAGTCGTGTTGAATTGCTGACTGTGTGACTGGATGTGTGTGAGAGAGTATGTGTGTCTCAGGACAAATGTAGGGTATTCATATCAAGCTCAGTCATCACTCACCAGTACTTCAGCTCCTGTATTTCTTATTTTGGTAATGCTCTTATGCAATACAGCAACAGAGTTAATCTTTGTACAAAAGAGTGAAAAAAATCTTTGAAAAAGATTTAATTGCATGTTTATTATGCAAGTTTAACAAAAACTTAAAAGACGCAAGTTGATCAATGTTATACAAAATGTTTTATAGGTTTAAGATATTGATATCTCTATAGTGTTGAAGTGTTGTGGGCTTTACTGTAAATTATGAAACAATGTCATCAGCCAAGAATGCATAATGATATAAAAGTTGATTGTAGTCTCTTCACTTTTTGCCACCTGTGATTTCAATAGTGTAGTTAGGGATTATTCGTTGACTCATTTTGATTGAAGCTGAAGCAATACCCATTCAGGGAGTTCATCAAACATAATTGTAAAAGAACAATGTGTAGAATACTCCATTTCGGATTGTTTCCAATTGTAATGCCAATCTTTGCAAATAAAACCTTCAGAATAAAAATGATTTGGTGCAGTCAGTACCATGAAACGCTACACTTTAAAGAATAAACACGGACTCTGTATGAGTATACAAGAATGTTGTGGTTAACTTTAGTGATGTTTAGAATTTCAAAATGAACTAGTGAAGGCTTACCTCTTGCTCTTAATTGTTCCTTCATCATTACAGTAAATTACCTCTAAGTATGAACTAGAAGTAGGGAATTAGCGTGTAGGTTTCTTCTTAGAAAAGATTGATTTAGAAAGAACCATACAATAGCATTATCAAAATATACACTTTAATGGCAGATAATTATACTTTAGCTATATCTTATTATTAGAATGATTAACCAAAGACAATTCATTGTAATTTAGGCTCAAATACAGATTTTGGTACTGAACTTTGCTTCTTTTAAGATCTAATAAACAGCAGACACAATGGGTTGAGTTGCCTTCTGTTGAAGGTTACCAGTGTAACCTTCTTAGGTCCTGTTTGCTGGTATTCAATTCATATTAACAGCATAACACATTTACACAATTATAGCATGTCAGTTTTATAAATGAAGAAAACTCTGATTTGTTCAAATACAAGTACTGTATAGGCACTCCCTGGATTACGTGACACTTGCATTTCCCAAATACCGTATTACTTTCCTTAAATCACATGTAAATTAAATTATTATGATTAGTGTATTTTTATGGCTATGTATGCATAAAAGGGAACTTCCTTTGGCCATGTTAATAGCTTCCTTACCTTATTGAACCCATGGTTTTATTTCTACAGAATCTAATTAAAACATATTTTTGTGTTTTAAATTAAAAAATATAAGTTTCATTACAGTGAAATTTGATTTATGAAAGGGTTTCTGGAACCAAACCCTTGCATAACTTAAATGCTCTCGTTTCCATTAATAATAACCTTTAGTTTAAATAACATCTCTGAAAGCAATCATCTCAAAGGGCTTAATTATCCTGAGACAATTAAACACTGGGTCTTCTCAACATTGCCTGACTCACTGGTATTTTATTTCTGTGAACAACATTTACTAGTGGTTAAAATGGCTTTTTATAAAGAAGAAATTGTATAACAAAGGATTGGAAGTATTTAATTTCACCTGAATTTTAAGCAGACTTTAAGCATCTGTGGATTTGCATGATTTTAAAACAAACTGCTATTTATTGAACCATGGAGATGTGGATACTGTATTAGCACATTTGAAAAATGCAAACTAGATGGATTAAAGTTAATTAATAAAGCCAAAGTAAATGTTTGTCAGATTTAAACACCCTCTTAAATTGCAAAGCATAATTATAAACCTACACATTACATAGATGTAGTCAACATGATTTTTGGGTCATTTTTTCAATCTTTTTTCAACCTTTGTTTTATCATCAGTCCCATATCTGAATCTTGAGCCAGGAATGCTGTTCAAGTTGAGTTGATTCTGAGCATGAAATTAATTGCTTGTAAAGCTTGATCAACAGTGGCTACAGAAGAATAGAACAATTTGGAGACCCAGGCAAGACACATCGATTTATGTACTGCAGTGGAGATAATGAAACCATTAACATACCTAAAATTGGCTTTGATAATCTGGAAGACTCACATTCTGCTTCATCGTTTTCAACCATAAATACTATCAGAGTTCTGTTTTACAGGAGCCAATCCTACCAGGAGACCATGTGTTTGAAGAGTGAAATAATATTTACAATTTAAAATTTGGGGAAAATCAGTCTTTTAGAAGGTGTATCCACAAAAGGTGCAGTAAAAATGGACTGGTTATTACAAGAATGTTCAGATGTGATTTTTAATTATTTTAGTTCTTATTAACATATAACCTCTGTTCATTCCATCTGTTTATAGCAATGTACAAACATCAGAACTGTAATTTTCATATTCATTCTATTAATAAGATGAAGATTGAATAGGATGTGCTGTCTCTTACAATAAATCCTTAATTATCCTGAATAAAGCGCAATTCAGCTATCATTTCAAGAAAAAACAACTTTATGGGAGTAGTCATTTGTTTTTCTTGATACCGACAGTTTTCCCTGCCCTGCTTTGTAGCTTTAACTGGAATAAAAAAATAAAACCAACCCTTAATAGCGTCAAAGAGACTCGTGTTGCGAGTTAGGATTTGGTATGTACGTGAAAGCTTTCACTTATCATGTTCCAGTTATACAATGGATATGGGCATGATATTTAGAGAAATGTAAATGAAACTTATACTCACCGGCCCACATGGCTAGCCTTGATTAAAGGTGCCCACGAGAAGATTAATGACTTTGTTGGATATGACCTTATGGTACAAACCCCTAAAAGGGATAACACAGTAATAATAAATAGTAATTATTCTTACCACTCTCTGACTCTAGCCACCTCTCTGTCTTCCTTGATGTATTAGCAATTAGAGTGCTTTTGATTAAGCTCATTAAAAAGCTAATTGACAGAGTGAAGAAAAAAGCAAAGTGAGGTAATTTGATATTAAGGCCAGCTGCAGCAGGATGTGAATCCGAGTCAAGGCTAGATAGTCTTAAAGGAGGCAGTCATTCCATTTGCACTGCACTATAGAAGCTAGAGGAGGAAAGTGCAGCAGGGCCTCCTTAAAAATATTAAGGTCTGCGAGTAAATCCACCAACTGAGTAATCTAAGGTAGTCAGGCTCATACACAAATACACTTTCAGTACACTTAACGTCACCATTTGGATAGAAACAGCCTTTTCATGTGATGAATGCCACTGTCTACGACACGATATCCAACCAGTTGTTCCCGTCTGGTTTTGTATTACATAAACTGGTTTCATGCGTGCATACCGGTTTAGTTCCCGAGAACTAAGAAATATTAGTCATCTGTCACCACCATTATGGCACTGATTCAACCCTGCATTCTATTTTTAAGTATGATCTTTTGCGCATTGTTTTTATTCTTTTTTTAAAGGATGACTTGTTTATTTAGAAATCGTTACAAAAACAGTATGTAGCTAAACAATGTAAAAAATTGAAAAAAAATCTTCTAAAACTTTAGAATGTAAGTGTCTCTAATGAAATAGCAGTCTGACCCTTTTAATCCTCTTGAAAAACTGTTCAGGCTGCCAGCTCTTACCTGCTGGACAGCCTTGGGACAGCAGAGTCGAAGGTGTCAAAAATCGGTGTTCCAGCATATTACGAGATGATGATATGACCTACTTCCTTCTACCCATTTTCAAACAACTTCCTCTAATTTAGGGTCACGGGGGGAGCCAGAGCCCATCCCTGCAAGCAATGGGCGCAATAGAGGGTAGACCGTAGCTACTGTAGGGCTGCCAGCCCAGTACATGGCCCACAAAGACACGGGTAAAGACGCACACAATACCAATCACACCAGGGAACATTTTCCCAGAGGCCCATGAACCTACAGTACAGTACCAGAATGTTTTTGGACCGTGGTAGTAAACCAGAGCACCTGGAGGAAAACCACAGGAACACGGGGAGAACATGCAAACACCAGCTCCGAAACTGAACACAGGTCCCCAGCGCCGCACCACTGTGACTGTGCCGTCACGTAACCTACTTGTATTTCTTAATTCCGAGTTCAGAAAATTCTGTTCCTCTTTGTAACTAGATAGCCATTTTATCCAATACATACTGTACTTTCTTTGCAACAAACGTTTATATCCACCTGTCTGGCAGGCTACTTTTCTACACTATTTCATGACTAGATTTAGCAAGTTGGAAGCTGTAACTGTTTGCAGTCTAGTCTTGTTAGTGACCTATTTATTTAACTCTTAACAAATGAAAATTAGTTCTACACTGATAAAAAGTAAAATTTACTTTGCAGGTGTGGAGCTTTACTCAGATGAGCAGGAATAAGAGAGAGAGACGTGGGGTGGGAGATTCCAAGTGAAAAAAGAAACAGTGAGAACAGACACCTGCCAGATCTTTTCTGCAGACCCACTGCCACTCCTACCAGCCATTCACATTTACTCACAATTTCCATAGCTGCCCACAGCAGCTACAGGCACTCGGTGCTGTTTGAGCTACAAATACTGTACTTGTCCAACAGCACACTTATACCTAATAGTGTATGCCATCTTTAGACAAAATTGATACATTCGTCGGGAGGCACAGTTGTTGTCTTATAGTGCTGGGGCCTTGGGTTCCATGTTCTCCCTGTGTTTTCATGGGTTTCCTCCAGGTGATCCCGTTTCCTTTCAAGTCCAAAGATATACTGGTAGGTTAATTGGGTTCCGGGAAAATGGACACTGATGTGATTGTGTGTTTACGCTGTATTTGCCCTGTGATGGACTGGCGTCCCATCCAGGATGTATCCTGCCTTGCACCTTATGCTTGCTTGGATAGGCTCTGACCCGGGACTGGATATAGCACTTAGAAAGTGGTAGGACCGATGACACATTCACCAGCATGCAACTAATCCACTTCTACAGTACAGTACATCCTTTCAATTCACATAATGCTGGCTCTCATGCTTCCCTTTGTGAGAAGTTTTGTGTCACTGTTCTCCTTCACCTTAAATTCTGGTGATTCTTCCCCTCTGTTCCTCCCCTCTCCCTTTTATTTCTTCCCTCTCTCCTTCTTCACATGCTTAAGGGGGCCCTCACAGCCTCAATGTTGAACGTTTTACTCTTTCTTTTTACTTTTCAGTAACCTTGAGTTCTACTCTCAAGCTCAGTTCTCTAGCGGGCCAGTCCAGTTTGTGGCCACTGTGATGACACACCATGTTTCAAACCAGCAGCGGGAGGTGGCATCCCACCAGGGAGCGGGGCAAATCCGACATGGAGAGTGGGTTGGATCGGATCCTACATGTCCAGGATCCTTACATCCATTCCACATTTAGTCCAAAACAGAGAAGACTAAGAAGCACCTGATGTCAGCAATTCAAAATCCTCAAAGGCACTGATACAGTGGTCTTCTTCAGAACGGACATCAAAACACAAACCAGAGGGCGCAAGTTGAAATCACAAGGTAGTGCAACAAGGAACAGGAGTCATGCCATTACCCTAAGGGTTGTGGGAAAAGCTTCCCAGTTA